ACAAGCCGTCCGGTAAAGTTGGAATTGTTGTACATATTTTTTTCTAAAAAATAAGAAGTGATATGTTAATACTTTGTATAATGCGTAAAATATTAAAACCCACCCGTATATTTTTATTTTACTTTAATTTTACCAACTTCAAGTTAGTTTCCATTGATTACCTTATTTATTTTATTATTTTTGTATCATTTTAGTTACATTTCTCATTTTTTTAATTTTTTATATCTATTATTTTTATTTTTTAAACTAAGACTAATCTTTAAAAAAGGAAAAAGAAATGATGATGGAGGTAGAAAGTAATTTAAAAAATTAAAATGAAAAATTTAAAAAAAATAAAAAAAACGAAAATTCATCAAAAATAATCCCAACTTTCATTTTGTTGCCTAAAACGAGTATTTCCGTTAACTCTCCGTTAGAAACTTAACGGCGACCCAAAATTGACAAATTTCAGTAAAGTTAGGATTATTATGCATCACAGTGAAAGGTGGGATTATTTTTGAAAAATCGGATAAAATTGGAATTATTTTGAGTAATTTTTCCTTAAAAGAAAGGGCCATTGTTTTAGTGTTATACAGTTAATTCCCCCAAAAATCACACTGCCAAGCTATTCTACCACCGCCACCGTAGTTTTCACCGGAATTGGGCACCTTCCCGACGCAAACGGGACCTTGTCCCCTCACCGCCTTCTAGTTTTTTTTTCGTTGGTGAGACTGTAGATCTGTGGTTTCTGTGACCAGTCCATCCCGCTTCAAGATGCAAGGAGGATCAACAGGCGTCGGCTATGGCCTCAAGTATCAGGTACTACCATTTCTCTCTTTCCCCGCAGGCGACTCCCATTTCTCTCTTTACAATTTGTTTATTTTCCCGCATTTTTCGAAGGCTAGATGCATCGCCGACGTGAAAGCGGACACAGATCACACCAGTTTCCTCGCCGGAACTCTTAGCCTGAAAGAAGAAAACGAGGTGCATCTGATTCGGCTGTCTGCAGGCGGCACAGAGTTGATCTGCGAGGGTCTGTTTTCTCATCCCAATGAGATCTGGGATCTTGCGTCTTGCCCCTTCGATCAACGCATCTTCTCCACTGTTTTCTCTTCAGGTATCTCAATGATTTCCTCCTCATTCTATTAAGTAAAATATTCGGAGTAAATTCTATTTCTCTCTTTAGTGTTATATTTCCTTGAGAATGCAATGGCCGCCATTTTGTTTTTTGTTATCTTAGTCTATGGCCTGATTAAGAATCAACAATGTGTTTTACTACACATTTGGTAAGCTAATAGAAAAATGTTAGAGCTCAATTTGAACAGATTGGTGGATTACTAAGTCTCTGTCTGTGAAGTGATGTTGCATTATAGCTGTGATGTAGATCAATATCTAGTGAGCATGACATCCTTACTAGGAATGAGATAATGTATAATGATCAATGTTACTAATAGATTATAATTTCTGTTTGTTGGGGCAACAATAGAGTCTGTACTGATGTTTTTGGAAATTTTGATTAGCAAGTTGAAAAGTTTGGAATCTGAATTTCTGTAACTATTTCTTGATAAAGTTTGATCATAAGTGTAGTGATGAATCTAGAGTGGTATTTGGTTGGTTGTTAGCATGGTTGTGCAGGTTGATAGAACTGTGATTTGGGTTTGCAGGAGAAACTTATGGAGCAGCTATATGGCAGGTGCCTGAGCTATACGGGCAACTAAATTCCCCACAACTGGAATGCATGGCTTCTCTTGATGCACACAATTCAAAGATTAGATGGTGAGTTGATAAACTCTTAGTTGTTGTCTTTATGATTCATAAATATGTGGTATCTCTTCTTATCTTAAGCAGAACAAAATGGAAATGCAGATTACAGTAAAAATGACTCAATAAAATTAGTTACTGATCCAATAAAAAATCTAGATGCTAGGCGTTGTGCTTTCCGATTATCGCTGAGAAAGACATCCATCAAATTTTGGAATCTTTTGTATACTTTTTTTGATTTGGACACTAAAATCTTAGGCAAATTTCTTACCAACTGGCAGCACGCTTTGGTGGTCTACTGGAAGGCATGACAAGTTGGTTACCATTGATGAACAAAATGTTTTTCTGTGGAGCTTTGATGCATCAAAAAAGACTGCCCAAGTATGTTCATTTTCTTCAGTGTTGTTATGATAATATCATGTTCAAATGTTGACCTTCTCATTTTCTAATATATCTTTAAATAGATTTTCAACATGCATTTTCTGTAGTTTGCATTAAGGAACCATAAGATATGCTACCCTGCCAAACTTCTTACCTCTCAACCCAAAGCAACAACAACAACAACAAAATAGAACCTTAATTCCATATCACTGAAGTCGACAATATGATCCAATATATAGTCTCCTTGCATCATCTGTCAATGTCTACATCTTCAGGTGTTTTCTCCTATGCATCATGTGCCCATAAAGCACCTATCAATAATGTATCTTTTTACACCGTTCATCCATTGCAATCTTAGTTTATAACTTGGTAATTATGTAACACCACCATGGTTGTGCGTGAGTGATAACATACCATAAGACCTCTTCCATTAGGGCTTGGAATCGGCTATGATCAACATAAAAACCGCACAAGTGGAGTGTCCTTCCACCCCAAACCATTAATTAAAATTCAACATAAAAGATTAAATTGCCGAACATCTGTATATTTATAGAATCCTTGTTAGTTCTGATGTCTTGGCCTAATTGTTATTCAGTTGGTGCCAAGTTTAGGTGCAAGCACAAGAATCAGCTGGCTTGCTTCACTCTTTATCTGGGGGAGCTTGGGATCCACATGATTATAATGCGCTTGCTTTAACATGTGATGCATCAGTTCAATTTTGGGATCTGCGTGCGATGACGTATGTTAATTGTGTGCTTATTTTTCCGTGTCCTTCAATAATCACTGGTGCATATTTTCTTTTATTTTATATGCTAACTATTTTAATTTTAGTGGAACTTTGAAACTAAACCAAAACATTGAAGAGATTGTTCTTGACAAACAGTGCCACAACTCTTTCACTTGCAGGAAAACAAATTCAATTGAGCGTGCTCACGTCCAAAATGTAGACTATGATGCTAAGAAGTATATGCTAGTAAGTACCTTCATAGTACTTAATCATGTTACCTAATGCCTACTGTGCTACCACTGGATTCAACAAACACACACACACACTCTCTCTCTCTCTGATAGATCTACCTTCTCCCCCTCCCATTCCACTTCACCCCAACGAGCCAAAATGGGAGTGTAAAGTTTTTTGCTATAAATTAGCAGCTGAGTAAGATTATTGGAATATGGAAAATCATAACAGAACTCCATCGTCACTGTAGGTTTAGCTCATTATGCAACCAGTGATATTCCAATGTGTTCACGTGTATCAGTATTAGTGTTTTTATTATAAATATACTTTGTAGGCATCAAAAGAATTTATGACATGTCAACTATTATCAGTATACTTCTGCTTTTTTGTTATACTCATATAGTCATATTTTAGCTTCTGCCACCAAACATTCAATTTCTCAAGTGCAGAAGGGAAAAACTACCCAGCTTCCTGCAAACATGAGCTGGGTGCGATTAATATGTGTTATGTTTTGAAGGTAACAGCTGAAGCTGAATCTGGGATACACATATGGGACCTTAGAATGACAAAGTTTCCGTTCTTAGAGCTCCCTGGGCATGCTCACTGGTATGTTGTTCTTGCCTTGTGCAAGAGGCACTCTGCACATATCGAAGTTCTTTAGTTGGCTATGCTCTTTCTTTAGTTGCAAGAGTTCATCTCCCCTCTTTGCCCACCACAACAAGTCAACAACCACCACTGTCACCACCCCCACCTCCATTTTCAAGTTGTGTTAGGCTGTAAGCATAATCTGTTTGTTTACAGGACATGGAACGTGAAATGCAACCCTGAGTATGAAGGCTTAATTCTGGTTTGCTCTCTCTCTCTCTCCTCCCATCACCCCACATTTGATATCTATAGTTCAAACCATTATCGAATTGATAGCCATGTTGGACCTCTCCAAAATGACAAAAGTTCTGCTCGCTATGGAGCCCGACCAGTACAACTCCATTCTCCATCACACCTTCAAAACCTATGTTTGATCTCTTTGATACCAACCACACTTAACACTTAAAAGGAGAATTTACCCCAATCATGGTACAAAAATGGGATATCATTATAATATATGTATTCAGTACATTTAAATAGGTTTGTGCTCTTTGTTCCGGTTTGCCTCTAGCCTTTAGGCGAATTGGCTGAGCTTATCCAAAATTTGCGGCACAGAGAGCAATATATTGATGATTTTCAAGCCATGCTTGAATGTACCAAAAAAGCTCTTTATTATCAACAAGTGGACTTGTTCACAGTTGGTTCGGAAAAAATCCTCCAAATTGACAATGAAATCCCTAACTAAGAAGCACAATAGGTAAACATGCAACAGAAAGTGTAGATGACAATTCCTGATTTTTTCAGAATTTGTGCCAAACCTTCTGTTCACATAACCATTTTGTTCTTTTGGAGTGCTGATACTGTCAAAACATTTGTAGAGTTCTGGAACTGACTCTGCTGTCAATTTGTGGCTGACATCTGCTAGTGGTGCGGACTTAACTTCTGAGAGGTGATTGTGCTCATTTATCCTGACTCTGCATGCATAATAATAGATAAGATTATAATGTTTCCATTAGTTGTAATTGTGTCCCAATATCTTTTCCATTTTCAGCCTGGAGTCCTCTACTAGTCAGGTGGATCCATTACTAAATTCATTCAGTGACTATGAAGATAGTGTCTATGGTAATGTCAATAATATGTACTTAAGTTCATGAATGATATCAGCGATCAAACTTGCTCTGATATATCTACCTTTATTTTTAAGGTCTTGCTTGGAGTTATCGAGAGCCCTGGATGTTTGCCTCATTGTCTTATGATGGGAGGGTATGACCAATAATCTTTTCTATTGAGCCTTAGAAAGCATGATATAGTATATCGAGGCCATAAACTGTTTCTCGTTTGCATTGGACGTGTATACTCCTATATAAGCATCAACATGATGAGTTTATTACTCCATCCATTTCAAATAGCACGACTCTTTGGGATAGGTAGTTCTTATATCAAGTTAAAAGGTGTTAATTAGTACTCATAATTATCAGCATCTTTAAGGGTTTGTATTTAGAGTAGTCAATAGTTGTGAGCTTTATCTTAAACCTCTTGCAAAAAAAGAGGCAAAGTTTTGAACGTGCATTTACAATTGATCGGACAGCGGTAGGAAACAAACGCGTATCTGCAGGGGTGTTGGGTTGGAGTGAATAATTATACCCTAGCTAGAAATCTATTGGCACAATGTATTTTTTTGCATATTCCCTCTGCCCTCTTTTAACTGCCAGTTTTGTTTTTGCTTGTCAAACTTTGACCAACAATATACAAAAACATAAAATGAATTTAAATATAAAACTTAGACCATAATATTTGTAATGGATAATACTTGTAATATTTTTTTAAAAATATTTTTTGCTAATATACTACGCATATAAGAGATATTGTTGGTCAAATGTTTGACAATGGAAGCAAAACGTACAAATAGAATATGGAATGGAGGGAGTAATGATTATAGGGGTGTGACTATAACACTATATCCAAACCCCTTTTGGCTAATCCACTTCATTTATGTTAAATGGATAATTTTACCCTTAAAAAGTTGGCGTATATCTAATATCCCTCTTTTGTACTATTTTTTAGCATTGTTCATTTACCATAAATGGAGTGGATTTAGCCAAAAGGGGTATGGATATAGCAGCCACACCCTAATAATAGTCCTTTTTTCCGGCAACATTTTTTGAACATCGATTACTCATTCTGTTAGACCCAGCATTGGCACATCTTTTTGTTGAATGTAAAAGGGCTGAACATTCTAAACTATTCTAATCTGACTGTCTCTCTGAACTGCCTGTCCAATCTATCTAACTACGTATATCTATCTATATGTCTCGTGGGTGTGGCAAAATTTACTAATTGTCATACCAATGTGCGAAAATGTGTATTACAAATGTTTCAATTTGCTTTCTTAATAAACAGGTCGTCGTGGAATCCATAAAGCCTCATCTTCCAAGAAGATGAAGGGCAAGCAAGCGCAACATGCACTGGTTCTCAATGTGTCCTTAATTTTTTTGTCCCAAGCTCCCGCTCATACCCATTGTTTAACCATTTCCTGAATTTTACCAAATGAGTTCGAGAATAGCATTCACACTGGAATCATTGTGTTGCAGTGACCCCTTCTGGTGAGGATGAGGTTACATCTGCTGTCATATATGCAATTCAAACTTGAAAGACTCCTTAGGTGTCCCCCCCCTCCTTTTCTTCTGTTAGGGTGTTTTTTTTGTTGTTAATCTTGAAAACCATTCCATGAATTTTGTGGCTTTGTATGCGGAGTACAGTGTTACATGATGCAACCGCTGTATCTTTGTGTCAGTGTGGTGACATTAATGAGGAAAAAGGAATTAGTACCCTGAAGCAATGTTTTGTTTTCAACTGTCATGATCTATTAATTGTTAGAGCTCTCTCTATGCATAATAATGTCTTTATTTGGTGGGTGTGAGAGGTTTTGGACGGTATGGATGGGGTAAAGTTATTATTGTACCGAAATTAACTTATGTGGCATTTTGGCAAAGACGGTAACGCCGCCCCTTACTATTTGGTACTAAAAGGATTAGGTATCATATTGCCGATGATATTGTGTGCTCCTCTTTATTCTATATGACAGTAATATTACCGTTAATACTTAAAAAGTTACTTTAAATTAGTAATTACAACTTTTATACATAAAGAAACATATTTCTTTCACATCCATTTTATATGCAACTTTTAGTATCATCATCTTAATTTACTTCGAACTTATTTTCTAGTATTGTTGTATTTAAGTTTTTTTTTTGTTTTGGATTAGAATTTTGTTCTATGTAGTATTATTTTTTTTGCTCTTTTAGATTGTTTAAATTAATGAAATCTTATCGTGTTGTTGTCGTGTTCATTCAGTATTATAATTTATATTTTTTAAAAATTACTGTAGCTATTAAAGAAAATAAATAATTAAAATTTAGTAAAAATTAAATTATATTATGAGTTTAAAAATGGTTGTTTATTTAAATGTAGATGTAGTAAGTTGGTAAATTAGTGCATGTATACAGTATGAAAAGTATAAAATTAATGGAATCTGATGTTATCCTGATGTGGAGTAGGGGTCGGTCGGGAAAACTAAAATTGATTGAATTCTGCTAAAAAATAAATCGAACCAAAAGAGTAATAACCGAATGCAAAAAACCAATCCGAATCGTTTCCAAACTGTTCTTTTTTTTGTTTTGGATTGTGAAAATCGAGCCGAATAAAAAAACGAAATTTTTAAATTACCACCAAGAGTTCCAAGATGAGGAAAAAAGTTAAGCATTTTGGTTATGATAAGCAACCATCTTTAGTAGGTTTTTGCAAGTTTAATTATTTTGGTTATGTTTAGGACATTTTCCGTTATGTCTTTGGTTTTAGGAAAAAATCGAATCCACCCCTAATGTGGAGGGAAGAGATGATGCAATAAGAAAAGTATACAAAGTTTGTACAGCCTTGATCCTTAGAGTTCTCTATTTGTGGTCCATCTTCACCAACATCCATGACTCTATCATTGGAAGTGAGAGTATCTTATCATGGTCTCATTTCTCATCTCAAGTGAGCGCGCTGCTTCATTGTCTACACTTAACCTGTTAAAGTTTAAGCCCATCCTATTAGACATGAACGTTTCGCGCAAGGATGTGAACATTCACGCGTAGAGATAGACACGAAAGTCTTGCGAAGAGTTTTCTGCGATTTTAGGGTCAATTTTGACATTTCATCCATATGTCCAAATTTGAAAGATTTTCATAAGGCAATAATGTACAAAATAAAAAATTTCCACCCGGCCAAGGGCCCTTCCCCTTGGACCCCGCCAGCGGCTGCCGCCCCTTCGACCCTGCTACTGTGGGGGTTGCCGCCTCCGGATCTTCGTTATGAATTGGTAAAACGGTTGAACAAGTGCGCACTCTTGCACCTCCTGACTCGTTTGACAACGTCTATTCAAATTCTTGTCTGATCTAAGTGAATCCAGTCATACAAAATAGCCGATGACACTAGAATCACCAACGCACATCCAATATAAGTGTATTCTTCTCCACATAGGCAAGTGCATTCTTTATTTGCTTGTCAAAGTTTTCAACTTGGCATAAGTGATGCCGAAGTAGTGTCCTGCATCACGACACCACATCCGTCATCACCCATTGCCTCGCATAGCGCTTGGCTCCCCCCCNATTTGGCGGGTCTACGATATGATAGATGGTTTAGCACACTCGGGTTTCCTTTATCAATGAACTCTATTAGTACGTGTATCAATCCATTTATTATCACTAACGGGCTTTCACGGAAACATCTTCGGTACTAAAATGACACCACATTCTTCATCAGCCTAATGCCTTATTCTTTCAAGAGCCAACTAATATGCAGCTACATGTTCATGTGCTAAAGCGAAATGTCATTTGGCAAGTATGATGGCTCCCGTGCACTACTTAGCTCTTTTATTTGCAGAGTATTACAAAAAAAAAAAAGATGAATCCTATTTTGCCAAAGAGAGGGTAAGGCTCCGTTCCATACAATTTATTTTTTCAGCTTATAATTTATTCTTATTAAAATAAGATCAGAACCAGTTAGATCAGATGAGAACAAATCAGATTGGAAACAATTTAAATACAACGACAATAAATTCAAATCCAATAGTATCAGACCAGATTAAATCAAACCAGATCTTTAAAAAATCAGATCAGATCAAATCAAATCAGACGTACTGAAGGCAGCCTAAATGGTACCCTAATCTCAACTAGCAAGTATAGAGTCAATTCTGTCCCTAGTCCAGACAAGGTTTTTACTTTTTATGTCAAGTATAAACATCCTATAGTATCTTTGCAAGAACTCAAATTCGATTACAACATTCTTTTACACTCTTCATTGATCACTCGAGCTACACTCCTAGGCTTCTTGTGGCTTCATATCTATTACGTACAAGAATCTAGTCTCAAAGCTAATTTTCATGTCTTGGACTATTACATTGTACACGACAAAGTTCAAAATGGTCTAGTTCATGCGTCTAGCATCTCTAGAAAAGATTGAACTTGTACACTCTTAGGTGAAGTCTTTTGAAATTGCCTTGTCCAAGTTTGGCTTGCTCTGTAACTCGTTGGGCAATGGCCAAACACTTTTTACCATTGTTCATTTTGTTAAAGGGTTCGTATGCCTGGGGAGAGGGAGGGGGTGGGTAATGTGATACTCCCATCCGTCCCAAATTAAATTGTTCGTTTCAGTTTACAATGTCTTGATTGAAATTGTTTTCAATTCATCTTATTTAAGAATTTCTGTAGAATTTAAAAATAAAGTTTGTGTAGTATTTAAAAAATACATCTAAAGTTCTACCTATAGAGTTTGCAAAATCAAAACCCTCTTTTGGCATTGGCAAGTACATACAAATGCAGATTACTCTTCTTATTATTACTTTCATTTTACAATAACTACAAATCCATTTTAATGTCACAACAATAATCACAGACCATTTTAAATATGTAAAATGAGGGGATGAAGCATCATCAGAAGAGCCTAAACCCGCAGACAAAGAACACCAAAAACGTCCATATATGCCTCGAAACAGTCCCTCATTTCCAGAAAATCATTGCAGCAGATCTCAAAGCTCATCCTGTGCAATGGAGAGTTCTCTAAATATTACAAGTCTGAATAGAAGTATAATAACAGCTGAGTAAAAAACACTCCACTTCTCAGTGAATATTACTACACATTAGGAAATGTATAAAACATCTCTTCACATTTAAACAATGATCTGTCCAAGGTTAAGATCAGTTGTAAGTTATGCCCAAAGTTCTTTCAGCAAACTTTACACGGAGTAAAAGAAAAAGCGTGTTTCCTAAATTTATTTTTGAAGAGGGATTACGCTTAAGGCAAATCCGTAGTTTAGAAGTAGAACTATTAGTTTTTGGTTTTGTTTCCTGGTAAGACCTTCCATCCAAACATACCCTGAGTGGACTGAAGAGTGGGTTTGAGTTGAAGGCATAACACAGAACTTTCAAGGCTAAGTGCTTCTGATAGTAGTAAGTTTTAGAATGTTATACGACATGGTTTCGACATATGAGAGATACGGTGTATACTTACATGGTAGTAGTCATAATCACGTGGATTATGCTGCAGAACAAAGATCAAGAATCAGATCTCAGAATTAACTTTCTAATATTAGTACAAAAGAGGCAGATATGCTGATACGGAATAAATGACGCATCCTAAGTGAAAGTTGTCTTTCTAAGAAACTTCCTGCTTGCAAGAGGTCACCAGTTATAGTGTTAGTGGTAAGAAATTATGGCAGGCAGGATTTTAAAGGAAGGATAGGACCAAGAAAAGGAATTCTCAAATGAACACAACTGCTGTTTGATAGGCCGAGCAATATTATCTAAAGGGTGAAGATGCATAGATAACATAACTTACCCTTCTCCGGCGCTTGTAACGGTGATCCCTCTCTCTTCTTCTCTTCTCACCTTCCTCTCTTGCTCTTTTAGCTTCCTGCAAATTAAAATGTTCAGATATATTGCTCCGGAAACTTACAACAACCCAGTTAAATCCCACAAGAGTAGGGTTTGGGGAGGGTGTGTGTACGCAGACCTTACCCCTACTCGAAAGTAGAGAGGCTATTTCCAAAGAGACCCCCGGCTCAACATTGAAAGTTGCATTGCTTGACTAACTGCTACTTCATTAATTAAAGAAGCGTAGACAGTTTAGAGGTCCATTTTGATTTATTCCATCACACCCCAAAGCCAAAAAATGGTGAAATTTTTGCTCCGGAAACTTGTGCAAAAAAAATGAAAGAAATGAGATGACCATAACGTTGTTCAGGGAGCTCTTAAAAATTAATAACCTCTTCTTCATGAGCTCGTCTCACTTTCTCTGCCTCTTCAAATGCCTCCTTTTCAGCCTGGAATTCAGTCAGCCATTAATAGCAGAGCATTAGTCAGGTTTATACCAAAGGTGGTGTATCTAGGAAAAAGAAATTAGATATAAACTCACCTCCCTATGTTTCCATATTTCATCCACAACTTCTTTTGCATATTGTGGATCATCACATATCAAAATGTTGTCAAACACTGAACCAGCTTTGACCTATAGTAGAAACATAACTTATAGGTTCATTAACCACGGAATAAACAAAATACCTGGCTTAGAAGAGAAGGGGAACATTTGAATATACAGTGAGAAAAAAGATATAATCAACGTTGAAATAAATATTATGCATCCATCCAAAAATAAGGTGGTTGGTTCCACTTGGCACATTTATTATGTGAAATTGTGTGGTTGAGACCTATTAAGAGGGGAGAGAAATAATGACCCACACAATTTTTTTCTTGAAAGAAAAAAAGAACCATATTTTGGGATGGACAAAAAAGAAAATAAAAACCTTATTTTGGGATGGAGGGAGCATTTTTAAGTTCATAATCCATAGTTGAGGGCACTAGGCACATCTCTTACCTGCCATACTTCGATACCGACATATTTAATCGGCCTCAACACATAGAGGTCGGGATCATCTTCAAACTCTGCAGAGAACAATGTAACTTTAAAAATTGCTAATATCATTGCCTTCATATGGGACTATGGGTCTATTTCAAAATAAGGAAAATGGTTTTCCGTGTCATCTGTACCCTATTTCAATTCATATTCCTTGTAGTGGTAATAATGTAATATATAGTTTAAAGCTAACGAGAACTTCACTAAGAAAAGAGAGGTGTATGACACTTCTGTTGGAGTAGTATAGTTTGTTATTAGTTTGTTACGGTAGTTAGTATTTTAGTTAAAGTACTGCTTCCTTTTTCCTTCCATAAAAAAACAGACTCTACCCTTCTTGTATGAACACTTTTGAGATTCAAAAGAGAGATGAAGTAAAAGGTATATTCTGGTTCATCTCTTCTCTTTTCTTGCAATCAATTTCTCAAAACTCAACATGGTATCAAAGCCAAGTTCCATCAGGTTTGATTCATCCTGGTAAATAGGTAATCAACGGGCTAGCTATAAGAGATTGAGAATTGAGATGCTAGACTCATTCATCCAAGTAGTAACTAGATTAGCCTAGTTACAGCTTGAGAGGGAGGGGGGGTTGGGAACAAGGTGTTGGGCACATCCCACACCTGTAAAATAAAAAAATATGACACTACCATATAGAGAAAGGTGAAACACTACCCATTAGCTTAAGCTTTTAGTTAGAAAGTGAATCCGGACTTTATATAGGAAAGTGGTCAAATCTCACTCGACACTTTTCCCAATTCTAACAACTTCGTACTCCCTCCATCCCATACTTGATGCAAGATATCCAAAAACCACTAAGCTACTCCAACCCATTTTCATTTTCCAAAAGGGTACACTCGTAAACTAACCAACATCACCATTATTTTCTTACGGAGTGTAACAAACCCAAATCCATCTTACTTTTTCCCTCTTCTCTTCACCTTATTTTTGTTCGTATCCTAATTTTTTCAGGAATGCTGTGCAGAGTTAAGAAACTTCAGAAATTTACAGAAAACTCAGAAGAGTACAGTAAAATTCAGAAAATTCAAAACAATTCAGTGTAATTTGGAAAGTGTAGCAAATTTCAATGGCATGTGAGTGAATTCCAAGGTGCTTATTTCTTATGAAATTATTTGAAAATGTTTAAGATTACATTCCTTGAATTCCAATGGCACGTGAAAAAAAGAAGGCAGCTCATGCAATTTGAGGTCAATATTAACTTTAAATGCATGCTAATTTGAGCCTCATCAAGATCATTATTGAATAGATCAAACAAATTTTTCTTACAGATTGATGTGTCTGACCATGGAAAGACATCGCGCAGAAGAAAAAGAAATTTCTTCTTTGAAAATCTTAACTCTGTCTTAGCTCTTTCACAAACTTAGACAGATTTAAGGCACAACTTGTAATTTAACAAATAACTAGTAGAGCTAAGGAATTTCATACTTAAGAGCTTAAGGCCGACCTGGGTTATCAATCCATGGAATTTTCCACTTCCCCTTGTAGTTGGGGTTCTTAATTTTCTGTAAAGTTAACCAGAAAATTAGAATAGGGGAAGAAAAAGCATTGAATGTTAACCAGAAAAAGCATGGAATGTGACATCTGAAGCTTAAAATTCAGAATATATTGCAAGGAAGAAGGCAATCAGGCCATTGAGGTGGGAATAGAGGAAGAGAAACCTTGTGCTTCCATGGTCCCTTAAATGCTCTATTTGGTATCTTTGCTGGTTTCCATATTCCATCCTCTTCATCATCCCAATCAGCAGGCTAGTGAAAGAAAAAAGTGCCATATAAGCAGTTTATTATTAATTTATTACTAGAGATAATTGTTTTTCTGGTGGTGAGAAAATTGTATTTTTTGTCTGAGTTATACCAGAATACTCACTCTGTCCCAAAATTAACTTTCCATGTTAAACTGGCATTGATTTCAAAGAAAGGTAAAATTGTGTGGTTAAAGTTCGTGCAGAGTAGAGCGGACCACATATTTCTATTCTTAAAAGGAATGAGAAAATTATTTGAGAACATCCAGAAAAGAAAGCGGAAAGATGATTTTGGGATGGAGGGACTAGTATATTTGGTCCCTCCATTGTTAAGCATTGTTGTGCTTTTAGTCCCTGTTGTCTTCTGTTAAATCCTAACAGCAAGAAAATAAAAGTGCAACAATTATTATCACTAGAAAACAAAAATACTATTCTCCAAAATTCAGACTAAATCAGATTTCATAATGCTGAATGGAAAAAAAATGAACTTCACTATATGTATAGAAATTTTTTTCAATAAAATGTACACAACACCAGATTTTTGTGATTCTAAGTTCTAACACGTCAACCGAAATGTACAACTCCTTTTTATTAACACAGACTAAATGTATTGCTTTAAAACTCAGGACTAAATGTACTACTCCGTATTTTGATACAACACAGAAACTGAAAAAGCTATTTTCCCTTTTATTATTACTCCCTCAGTTCCACTAGGATTATCCAGTTTTGAGATTTCCAATAAAAATAAGTTACACTCCTCGAATATGTTTTTATAATAAATGATTTATGATATAGAAGTAATCAAGTAATATAACAATGTTCTGAAATACTTCCATAAAAGTACAAAAGTTGACAAGTACAGAGTATATACATTTTGGAACAAATAAAAAGTATTCTTCCATGAAAAAAGAATCATTAGGGTGCATATTGAATTGTGTGACCTAAGAGCTCAAACTAACTTAAAATGAAGAGATGTTTTAAATAAATGTGATGGGAATTTTTTAAATAAATGAACTTATCTATCAAAAGTGCAAATCTTATACGGCAATAGTGGGTGCTAATGAGCCAAAAGTGTTACGAGTGCTTTTTATTATGTATGCATGTAGGTCAAATTCGGAAGTGTCACCTTGCTAGAAGTTTTAATAAGATAACTATGTCCAGATAGAGAGAGAGAGAGAGATCATGAGACCTTTTTAGCCTTCGGATCTGGAATCTCAGCTGGAATATTATCATATCCCTGCAATATCATTTTGTTTTTAAAGTCAATTTGGTTATTGAAATTAAAGTGGATGGAATCCTAAGAGCATTTTAGGCCAAATGACACACACACACACACACGGAGTATATAAGATAAGTTTTTTAAACGGAGTTCTAATATAGCAATATCTCTTAAAAAGGGGTAGCAAAAGATAATACACCTTAGTGAAAAATTGGTTAACCTCGATGCCTCATAAGCCAAAAAATAGTGCTTACAAAAACGGAAAAGTAAAGCTTTTAACCAAAGATAGGCACGAATTCTTACCTCTGGTTTCACATCATTAGGGTCTTCAATATACTCATTATCATCCCAATCAGCAGGCTGGAAAAATGGAAAGCACATTAATTTTCAGGATATTGATCGAGAATGGATCTTATTTTAACATGTTGAAGCCCCTACCCATATTTTATCAAGGATGATATGATACACTTTTCTGTTTTTTTAATCATTATGATATATCACTCTACTACATTATTGAGTTGTATTTATATGTAATGTGCATGTGTATATGTCAATTTTACTGAGATGAATTTGGTGCTTTTATTTGTTAATGAAATACACTAACCTATCTAAAAAATAGATGTAGCATCCAAGGACATTTTATGTCATTAACATGGGTATGGAACCAAAGTCACAAATATATAACCTTTTTTGCATGAATATCTTTGATCTTCCGAGGAGGAAGGATGTCCCAGTCCTGGTACAGGCTCCCAGACTCTCTCTCACGGTTATCAATAAGGATACTGTACGTTGCATCTGGCCTTATAATGAATGTGTAAAAATGAGTGAGCTTGTCAGTTTCACATTCTAACTCCTTTTTAATTGGATAATTTTGCCCTTGATAGGAAACTATAGCATGGATCTTCTTTGTCTGTGTACCACAGATGTCAGGACCGAACATAAGACTGCACAGAAGATCATCATGAATATATATATATATATATATATATATATATATAGGTGTTATGCACAAGTATTAGAGTGCAACTTAAGAGTTAAGGCTAATGTAAAAGTGGTATAGAAGAGTTAAGAGTGTAAAAGTTAAATGATTTGGATAATCCATCACAAACCTGTATGGTGTATCACCTCCAAAATTTTTCTGGTTGACATAACCAGAGAGAAGCTTAATATATCCACCGCCACATTCAATCTCCTGCTCAAACCGGACTGAATACTGAACCACGAGAGTCTTATTCTTGTTATTTATTTCTGGAATCTTTGCAGATATGGCATAGTGCTTTGCATCAGGGTATGTTACAATGCCTGCAAATAATTTAACTACTCAACAACATGGTATACATAGAATTTCCAAATTTATTCACTACATTAAGTACGATTTACAAAATGGATTTGAATAAGGGAGCTATGGGCACATTATTGGAATATACCATCTTTGACAGTTTGACTGGTTATCATGCATTTTGGTCATGCAATCTCATTCACAATCCCTCGAGTATTCGAGATTTATTCTCCATTACCCAATCCATTGATTTCTATAAGAGTGAGTATACTCCCTTGGGTTAATTTTTTCCAAACCTATATCTAGGGTTTGGGTGTCAAGGACTCAAAAAGGCAAGAACTAGGGAAGATCATATCTGAAAGGTGAGAGATGGAGTGAGTGAAAAGAGATGGGAGCGTGTACGAGTTAGTAAGTTGGTGATGGGCATTAATGTCATTTTATGACTGATACTTTACCATTTTTAAGTAATAGGAACAAAGATATAGGATAAACCGAAAAGGAAACAACGATATAGGATGGAGAGAGCATAAAAACTACATTCTTCAATTAGGCTTTCATAAAATGTTTACACCACTCAAGACCATAAAAACTTTATGTCAAGCAGCTAAGTCATACTTCATAAGCTCTGGCATTAGTGATGGTTGGGTTATTTACAGAACAGAAAACATTACGTTCATAGGTAGTAACAGATGCTGCTGTTGAAAACCAGTGTAATAGGTAGTAATAGTATGCACGTGATCATAGAGCAAAAAGTCAGTACACAATGCCTGTCGGATTGTTTGTCTTGGAGCTTAAAGTGGCTCGCTTTGAGGCTTTAAGGTTGCTTGGCTTAGAGCTAAAAGTCAGTACACAATGCCTGGCGATGTAAGAGTTCAAACTTTGCAGACTTGATGCTCTATACTCGAAACGGACTAGAGCATTCGGCAGGATTATTTGCTCTAGCTATGTAAGTTAGCACTAGCTATGCTTATTGTCAAAATTGGGTTATTTTCCGAACCTAACTTGCATCATTTCAATTCCTTACCAATTTGGTGCCACCAATTATATACTCCCTCTCCCCGCGATGAAGTTTACACTTTCCTAGTTTCCCTCTCCGTCTATCTCAAAACAAACTTTCCATTTCTCTCATTTCGTGTTTAGTTAAAGTATACTCCTTCCATCCCAACTCCCAAATTATTTGTCCTAGTTTGACTTTGATGCTAAATTTGGCCACAAATTAAATGTAATTTTAAATAAATAAAATTATAAAAATTTGATATATCCCAACTACATATTAAAATGAATCCAATTATATTAGATTTATATTATAATTAAATACACTTTCATCAAAATTTACCATCAAAGTTAGCATAAAAGTCAAGCTACGACAAATAATTTTGGGACGGAGAGAGTATGTGATTCAAAATGTTTCTGTGCCTTCTAAACAAATTCCATAAAACTTCTCTCTTCATTGCAGGACGTATGTCTTACCAATGAGATCAAACACTAAACAATGTATTAGAACTGAGAAGTCCGGATCCGGAGAAGTCCGACTTCCGAGGAATCCGGATTCCGAGAGATCCGAATTCCGAGAGGTCCGAATTCCGAGAAATCCGAACTTGAGAAGTCCGAATCCTTTGATGACCGAATCCCATTCTAATTAGGATTGATCTTGATTTATTTGTTTCCTAGTTTGATTATGATTTGTTTCCTTGTAGGATTTGTATTCCTTGTCTATTTTGGAATCATCCTCTCCTATAAATAAAGGAGAAACCCCTTGTAGCTAAACAGAACAATTGAATATACAGAATATTTTCCCTCTTATTATTTTCTACATGGTATCAGAGCAAGATTCCTAGGAAAACCCTAATCTAGACAAACGACGGTCCATCACCGCTGGAATTTCCTTCTCGACCATCGACATGGCAGAAGTAGAAGAAAATCTTGTCGGCAAGCTCTTCGAAGAGGAAGAGAAGATCCCTACGAAGGGAAGTTCTTACGAACTCAAGAACGCAGACACACCTGGGTTAATTATCACCCAAGTCAAACTAAACGGTGATAATTATGAAGAATGGGCTCGTGCAATGAGAATTGCATTCCGTGCAAAACGGAAAATTGGATTCATCGACGGATCCATCCCTTGTCCAGAAGAGGGAGATGAAAACTATGAAGAATGGTGGATTGTGAATGCCATGTTGGTCTCATGGATTTACAACACAATTGATGGCAGCCTGAGAAACTCCATCACACAGGTAGAAGAAGCAGCAGAACTATGGAAGGATATCCAAGATCGTTTCTCTGTTGCAAACGGTCCTCGAATTCATCAACTGAAGAAGGAACTTGCAAATTGCAAGCAAAACGGTCAGTCCATCGTTACGTACTTTGGAAAATTAAAAACCATATGGGACGAACTCGGCGATCATGAAAAAATCCCCGCTTGCAAGTGCCATGGATGCAAGTGTGGGATAAGCAAAGCGCTTGTCATCCAACGCGACAAAGAAAAGGTTCACCAATTTCTGATGGGATTGGATAACGAAGGATATGGGAGTCT